GTCTGCGAGATCCATAACTCACAGTGTTCACTGTTTTATTGTAAACACATCGGTACAAAGGAGACAATCAAAATGTCTCGGTTGCAGCACATTCATTTTGAGATTTTTTTTTTTTTTTTTTTTTACAAAAATGCAAATCATTTCACATTGTCCCTGTACAGACTAATCTTTCATCCCTTCAAAGACACAAGGGGGAATATAAAACATCTGGTCTTTGATAACAGAGGGTTCTTCATCAGGATACATTACAAAGCCCAGACCAGAGCAGTTGTTTCGAACCCTCTTACAGTCGACTGGTGAGCGGGCAACTATGCCAAAAAGCCTTTCCTTCTTTTCTTTTCTTTAAAGCATCCTGAAATGGCGCCAGTATTTCCGACAGTCTAGAAAATAGGGCAACTTGCCGTCCTCACTTGGCATCAGGACGAGCCGGATGAAATATCAAGACGTGTCAGTCCCTGAAATGAATTCTTTTGCAATTTGTTGGCCTTGTTTTAAGAGGGCTGCAGTCACTCAGCGTGACGCCTGGCTCGGCTTATGAATTAAATTGTAAAATTGAAATATTTCTTTGATGTATATGGACCGTGACACGTTCACAGAACGCTCAAGAATGGCTTAAATCAAACTGTGGAAATTAAATCCGTGTAGACCAATGTGCCTTTCATTAATGACTTTTGGCACTGGTTGTTGCACTGTATTTTAATGCTAATGAAATAAAAAAGGAAAAGAAAAAGAAGTGCACAGATCAGATAGGTGTCATACCAAGTGCCCCAATTCCATTCAATACATTTATATATATATATTTTTATATATACATAAATTACTAAATTAATTCATTTATATATTTATATATATATTTTTCTCTCTTTTTTTGGATAATTTAAGCAAAAAAAAAATTAAAATAAATTTTATTATATCATCAAAATCGTCAACTACTGAATATTCACCTAAATGAAGAAAAAATAGCTGATTATTAAAAAAGGTCAGCAATCTCTGCAAAGGCTATGGAACTCCAGAGGTTTTGAATGAAGCTAGTCCCTGGTGGCCATTAGTAGTAGGGCATCTAGAGCTGTACATCCAAGTGGTTTCATATCCACTTCTGTCTTTATCCTAGGGTCACCTCTCAGGGTCAAATCACAAATGTCTGTCATTTATTTGGAACATTCATTTCAGGTCATTCTGGCCTTATGCTGGCTAATAATATAGTCTTCAGTCTCACTTCCTGTTGAGTTACGACTTCGGTTCTCTGCGTAGGAACATGCAAGCGTCTCGCCAAAAAACATGGGAACGTGGGAAAACCATTATGGCCAGGTCAGGAGCAGATACATGGAGCGTTCATATGAACTGAGATAAATGACATGTAAAAGTCATGCATAAAGGCTAAAATGATTTTAGCCTTCTCTACGCCATCTATTGGGGAAATCTGGTATTGCAGGGAAAAGGCAGAAGTATTATAATAATAATATAAATGAAAAACATATTTTGGACAACTTTGGCGGGCCGGATTAAAAAAGCCAAATGGGTTGTATCTGGTCCCCGGACCACAGTTTTCCCATGCCTGGGTTATACAGACCTACTGCACAAGCTTTTATTTGTCAAACGTTTGATGGACAGGAACTCATTTTCATTTGGTACCTCAATGCAGTCACTAAGCATTTTATTTTGAAAGCTGTTTGACTGAAGAGGGAATCTGTCACTGGGTGCAGTTTGTGGGAAGTGTTTTATATTAACCTAACTTTGACAAAAATAAAAAATAAAAAAAGTAAAGCGCACTTATTTTTTTGTATAGTCTCTCGATTGAAGTGAATTGGGATCAGGAAAAATTGCTATCAGCAGGTCACACTGACAACAATCACATGGAACTGTATCTCTACAGTGGAAAAAAACATGGATATCTTTGCACCACCGGTAAGGTTAAGAAGCCGGGTGGTTAAGAGGGGGGAGGGGGGGGAGGGGGGGGGGGCAGCAATTCCCATTAATTTCTCAAATTTAGATTTCATAAGCCTGCACACACAGTTGATCTGGGGCAATTTCCACTTCTAAACTAATTTCTCATAAAATTGCCTGTCTGCCACTCCAACCTATTCTCAGAGTGAGTGTAGTGTGTGCGTCATAGATCTGGGGGGAAAAAAAAAAAAAATCATATCTCAGTGCTCAGGCTGTCAAAGAGAACGTCCCCTGGAGAAAACACCCATAAAGTTGAGAAAAACAACTGAAATCACCTTCTCTGGGACTCCACGTCCACTGACTCATCTTCTTGCAGGTGTTTGTAGACGTGACCGGACAGTTTGCATCCATCGATGAGTGCTGATGTTTTGTGTTTCCCTCTGGTAATGGGCGGGGTCCTGAAATAAACTGCCTCCCTCTGTTGCTGGGCAGGGCTGAGTGAAAGGGAACTACTTCTGTAAATAAGAGCAAAGAAAACAAACTATGATATAGCACTAAATATAACACACCAGTTTCACACTAAGTGCATATATTGCGCTAGGAAGTTCTGTGAAGTCCGCCTCATCTTCTTTGTTTATCTGTGGTAAAAGGAATGACGTTGGTGTTTGATGTTTGAGAAAAAAAAAAGAACTTTATTGACTGAAGTGTTTTGCTTAAATTGGGATCAAACAACACAAAAAGTATGAAAATAAATGTCAACAAAGCATTTGAAATTGTCATAGAGAACCTCTGTTCCAAAGAGGCGTTTCGACAAAACCACAGATAGCATGTGGCTCCCCCTGCTGCTCGATTATTACCTCGTTAAAATATCAAATCTGCCCCTGCTAGAATCAAACTTTTACACAAGTACCATTTCCTTACAAAGTAACTTACAAATAGACCAGGGGTGTCAAACAAAAGGGCCGTGGGCCTAAAATCGGCCCGCTGGGAGGTTCAATCTGGCCCACTTGATGAACTTTGAAAGTAAAAAAATGCACAAACACTCCATGTTTATGATGTTTTGTGAATGTATATTTCATTAAATATGAATATTTTCTAATGTACAATATAAACAAACATGGACCTATTGTTATTTATAAGTAATTCTGTTATGATTGTACTGGTCCAGCCCACTTGAGATCTAATCAGGCTGTATGTGGCCCCTGAACCCCCCCCCCCCGATCTAGC